AAATAGAATAATCAATTTAGTTATAAACTAAATAGTTAAAAATGTAAACTATTATATAACCAAAATTAATTAACCAAATATTTAATTAAAACAAAATCTTTTTGAGACTATTTTCAAATATTCATAAAATATACTAATTGGTGTATACATAATTATGTAAATCATATATATTATTCAAAAGATTATAAAATGACAAAATTACTTTAAACTGACTTGAAAAATATATTGAATTTATAAAGTCAATTATTTCAATTCGTTCGGAATTTAAGAAGCTCGATGATTAATTTACATCGGGGAGGGTCGAAATTGGGTGTCAACAGTCATTTAGTTTTGGAAGAAGAGGTTGTCCGGGAGTGAAACTTGGTTTTACAATTACTACAATGTTACTTGCTATGCTTCTTCATGGGTTTTCTTGGAGTTTACCACCAAATACACCTTCCAATGACTTAATTGAGTCATCTAAGACTGATCATTTTGGTATCTTACCTCTTCTTGCTCAGGCAAAACCAAGATTAGCTAAGGACATGTATCCTTGACACACAACTTTTATTGAAATTTACTTCCAGTAGTAATTTTCAGCATAAAGGTTTATGATGAATTTCAAATTTTAAACTCTTTTGGCATGATAAATAAATTTATATTATAGCGAATGTGTATCTTTTGGAGAAATGTTAGAAACTCGAACATTGGGATGAAGTCCATTTTATCATACAAGTAAAAGGCTTCTCTTCATTGTAAGATATAACTCAAAAGAATTAAGAAGTCTTCTCTTTTCTCCCTACTATATTCTTCTTCTTCTTCTTATTATTATTATTTATAATTTTATAACTCATTATCAGCACGAGATTATGTCATCTTAAGAAAATACTTTGATAATATCAAAGATATAAGAAGTTTCATGATAAGTTACAATATCAAACTTTGAATTGTGGCTCTGAATAATACACCAACATTGGAAAAGAATATCATGATCTATGTACTGGTGATTACTAACCATTATATAACTTTTCTACTAATCTTAGTTATATTTATTAGTAATTAGTATATTACGGTAGAATCAACAAAAATAGTACAATATTTACTTTTTTGAAAATATTATTAAATTACAAATATGGAATTTTGTCAAAATTTTCCTTTTTAGCATATGTTTGTATAATGTGGATTTCACGATAATTTTTTAATCATTACATCAACTTTCATGGCATCAAATTAGATTATACACCATGGTAATAAGATGTTAGATTCAAGTCCTAAGGAACTTTTATATGGATAATACATTGGATTCAAGTCTCAATGAATATTAATGATATAATGATAATTAAAATAAATAATGTTCTTTTGGTGAAAAGTCATGAACCATATCCCACTCTACATTATTTATTTAATTTTCTGAAGTGAATGTGCTAGCAATGTATAATGTCTGAAACAAATAATTGGTTGAATAATGCACATGAACGTAGAATAAGGTACTAAGCTATAATTATTTAATATTCTCAAATAATTTTGTTCTATTCCGATAAAAATATATATATCATTGACGATATAATTGTTATAATATAATGTATTATTGTATAAAATTATGAGGACTTTAATTCAACGATGGATTAAAGCATGATGACGTAGAAATATTTTACAAGTGGAATAATGGTAAAGGAAATTTCTGAAGGATTCAAAATACCTGAAGCATATACTTGTTCTTGCAAAATTTGTAGATAATCCTGATATGCTTTTAATCAATCAATAATCCTTAATATAGTTATGCAAATTCATGTAATGACCCGAAAAGGTGATTTTTGGAATTTTTTATAAAATTACCATTTTACCTCTTCCGATAGTTACCTTGAGTCATTTCAGGTCAATTTTTTAAGTTTGTTTCAAAATTCGATTAAATAGTTATGTTTTGTTGGAAATTTTGAGTTTTGGAAGGTATTTTATCCCTTCCAATAGTTACCTCGAGTTTCTGGTCAATTTTTGAAGTTGGTTTTGATATTTGATCAAAAAGTTATGCTTTGTCGGAAAATTTGAGTTTTGGAAGGTTTAAAGTGTTTATAAGTTGGGTTCGGTATCAATTGGAGCTTCGAGTCTCGAAATGGAATTCTAGTAATTCCATGAGCTCTAGAATCTAGAATTTGGTCTTGCAGTGTCGTTGTTTCCTGATTCAAAGGTGTTTTAAGGAATTGAGGTCTTAAGTTGGATCAATGTTTCTGTGATTTTAGTCTTTGAGTTGACTTTGGTCAACATTTGGAGTTTCGATGCTCGGATCAGAATTCCAACGGTTCCATTGAATTTTGGGGATGATTTTAAGCCTAGGAGAGACGGTTGAATTTTCAGATATTCCGATGGGCATTTTTTGTATTTTGGACCCATAAGTTAGTTTATTTTGAATTTCATGGTTTTTTAAATCAAGGAGGCCTCAAATCCATATTTTGACAGTTCAATTGAGTCTGAAACATTAAGTTTAGTTTGATAGCATATATGGTTTGTGTACTTGGGGTTTTGAACGAATCCGGAGGATCCATTCGACAACTTTGTGCCTTGTGTGATCATTGTTAGTTTTTTGTCTCTGGTGCAAATATATATGCTCATCGCAATCGTAGACCAATCCACGCGATCGTGATGTGATAATAAGGTACAGATGGATGTCTTATATGATAGTTTTTGTCAAAAACTGTAATATCTAATATGGTAATATGGTATGAGTGTATGTGTAATAAGATAGTTTTTCCTTATAAGAATAAAGTATCTAATATGATAATATAGTATTATGTCTAATATGATAGTTTTTCCATAAAAGAATTAAGTATCTGATATGATAATATGGTATAGATTAATATCTAATATGATAGTTTTTCCATTAAAGACTGAAGTATCTAATATGATAAAATATGGTGTGGATATATGTCTAGCATGATAGTTTTTCCATAAAAGAATGAATTATCTAATAAGATAATATGGTATGAATATATGTTTAATATGATAGTTGACCAAATATAAGTTTTTTTTTTATTAAAGGCACAACTCATAAAAGTCACAACTATTCATTTTCCATTCACACCTATTAAAATCTAACACTACTTTCATGTTCGTAGAGAGCTATAAATAGTGGATAGTATGCAATTATATCTTTGAACCAAAACCTTAATTATCAATCATCAATGAAAAGAAAAAGGTCAAACTTTTCAAAATTTCAAACCTTGTTAATCTTCTATGGAGGATCTTTATTTCTACCGTTTTTAAAGTTACAAACAAATGGATTATTATAATAAGACAAACATCATTATCTCCGGGTAAAAAACCATGGCCTATAATTGGTAGCCTTCCTCAAATGCTCCCAAACAAGAAGCCAACATATCATTAGATACACAAAATTATGGAGGAAATGGACACTGAAATCGCTTGCATTCATGTTGGTACTGTCCCTGTCATTCCTGTAACTTCCCCTGAGCTTGCTCGTGAGTTCTTCCAGATTCAGGGCTCTATTTTCTCTTCCAGGCCTATTTGCATGTCTGTGAGCATCATTAGTATTTTGAACCATAACACCACCTTTGGCAGAGTCCATTAACCGAACACCCAATCTGGACAGTGTATGTACATCTCGTACCAACTCTTTCTTATCTTCTTTTATATGGGCAACACTACCCATTGACAATCGACTGAGGGCATTCTCTGTAGCACCCCGTATCCGAAAGCAGAACTTAATGCAGATTTCCAGAAGTTGCAGGTGCAACCCATGGTTGCTACCCACGGACCGTAGGGTGACCCACGACCCGTGCTGGTGGCCCGTGGTTCGCATCTACAACCATCCCCAAAAATTTAGAAAAAAACCATTCTAAGGCATGACTCACAGACTGACTTGACGGATTGTGGATCCATCGACGGATCGTCGATCAGTCTGTAGGCCGAGGCCCTTAGAACCTGGTCTCTAAAGTCAATCGACGGACTGACATGACGAATCGTGAATCCATTGATGGATCATCGATCAGTCTGTAGGTCGAGACCCTCAAAACCTGGTCTCTGAAGTCATCGACGTACTGACAGGATGGATTTTGGATCCATCGACGGATCGTTGATCAGTCCGTAGGTCGCTTCAGCAGATTTTAAGTCAGGGTCGTTTTGGTCTTTTCCTATTTCATTGGACACCTAAGCTACGTCGTTTAGGCCCTAGATTATGAGGTTTTAGTCAGTTTAAGCCTAGAAACATAACTAGAACTTACCTAAGTCAAATTATTAATCAAAACTTAGAAAATTAGAAGCGTAAAAAGAGAAAGAGGCGACCAACCCTAGTTCAAGAACGCAACAAGTTTTCTTCAGTTCCAGCCCAAAAATAAAAGAATTTCTCCGTGAAATTCGTCACCAGGTATGTGGGATTTCACTAGTGGGTTCCTTTTTCACATTAGGTCTCTAGAATTCAGTGAGATTCTTGATTCCATGATTATGAATAGACCTAGGGTTTCTAGAATTTTAACAGATCTTCATGTATTAGTTATTTAAATGTTCCAAATCAGATTATCATGTTATTGCTCAGGTTATTGCATGAATTCCAGAACCCTAGCTATGTATTTCCTTAGTTCTTGAATTACACATGCTAGGTAAGATATTTCAGTTATTTAGTTATACATGCATCAGTTATTAATGCATCAATATCAGTTTAATTGTTGCATTTTTAGTTTGCATGTTCAGTTTGAGCTATCCTGTAACTTATAGAAATTCAGTCATAATGTGTTAATTACTTAATCCATTAGGAGTAGCATAATACCGACTTGGACTAGGGTTCAGCGTACACAATTAGTCCCAGAACTACTAGACACGTAGATTGTAAGTCCCCTCTGTGGCATCATTTCAGTGATCACGCCGGCATGCCTCTATACCTTTGGCTGGGTATATTGGGTCCTCTCGATGGGGCATATACATCAGACTCCATATTTAGCTCATGTGATTTTATTATCGGTTATTAGTAGCTCCCACAGTTTAGTCAGATCCTATTGCATTGACCATTTATCAGTATATCGAGTATTCAGTTTCAACATGTTATAAATTGGTCACTACATTCAGTTATCTCAACATTCAATATCTATATCATGTTCAGATTATGTCATTGCTTATTTGCTCATTCAAATATATGTTATTTTAGCTGTATTCTATCCTGCATGCTCAATACCCTTCAAGTACTGATGCATACTCTGCGCTACATCTTGTCGTGATGTAGGTTTAGGTTCTCACCATCTAGATCACGCTTAGATTGGTTCATGATCTCCAGTTCAACAGAATCAATGGTGAGTCCTTATTCTCCATGGACAGTAGTCATGAGTTTCTTTTCAGTATTTTTAGTCCTTAGTTTCTGTTTTGCTAGACTTAGCTGGGGCATGGCCCAGCATTTTTAGTCAGTTAGAGGCTATTTTCAGACACAGTTAGATTCAACTTAGTATTGAGTTAATATCATCTTTGTATTAAACTCATGAGTTATCATTTATCTCAGTTATAGTATATGGGTATTCCCCATCTTTTCATTTTTATTTATGATTTAGCTTCCGCATCAGTTTATTATCTTTAGTATGCTCATGATCAGGCCAGTAGGGTTAGCTTGGGATCACTTGTGGTCCTAGGTTCCGTGTCCGCGTCTTGGGGGTAGTCTCGGGGTGTGACAAACTTGGTATCAGAGCACTAGGTTTAAGTGTCCTAGGATGTATGAAAAGACGCACTAAGTAGAGTCTTTTTCATGGGTGTGAAGTGCACCACATCTAAAGAGGGGGAGGCTACAAAGTGTTTAGGAAATCTTAATTTTTTGTTACTCTTATCGTACATAAGGTATGATTTAAATTCCATTCTAACTCGACGTTCTACGTTTCAGTGATCATGCCTCCTCGTAGAGCGGACGCCAGGAATGCGAATGCCAGGAACGCAAACACAAATCCTCCAGTCCCTGATCAAGAAGTGTCGAATGCAGAGTTCAGGAATGCCATACAAATATTGGCTCAGAGTGTGGCCAACCAGAACAATTAGTGGGATCTAGTTCCGGTAAATGCCAATGTTGGGTCAGTTGCAGCCAAGGTACGAGAATTTGTTAGAATGAATCCGCTAGAATTCTTAGGATCGCAAGTTGGAGAAGATCCCCAAATCTTCATTGATGAGGTCAAGAAGATCTTTGAAGTGATGCATGTAACTAGGAATGATCGGGTTGAGTTAGCATCTTACCAACTTAAGGATGTGGCTCATATATGGTATACTCAGTGGAAGGAGAAAATGGGTACACATGCAACTCCTATTACTTAGAATTATTTCAGCGAAACCTTTCTGGACAAGTTTTTCCCCATAGAGTTGAGAGAAGCCAAGGTCCAGGAATTTATGAACTTAAGGCAGGGTTACATGACTGTCCAAGGGTATGGGCTCAAGTTTAACCAACTCTCTAGGTATGCTCCTCACATGGTTGCTGATTCCAGGGCTCATATGAATAAGTTTCTGTATGGAGTGTCAAACTTAGTGAAAACAGAGTGCACTAAGCTTACGGAACAGGCTAAGGAGACTAAGCAAGCAAGAACAGGTAACTACGAGTATTCCTAACAGAAATCGGGTGGTGGAAATCACTTGCAGTTTCAGCAGAAGTCTTCGACTCCAGCCCCTTCATCAACTAGTGTTCCATCCCCTAGGTTCCATAATGATTAGAAAGGTAGGGCGCCAGGCTCTAAGTCTCAAGGTAGTGTTTCAGGCACCAAAACTTACCCAACTTGCCAGAAATGTAACAAGAACCATCCGGGCGAGTGCCTTGCAGGTAAGGAATCATGTTTTGGGTGTGGTCAGTCTTGTTATAGACTGAAGGATTGTCCTTCTAGACAGTATCAAGGAGGAAATAATGGTAGAGCACAGTCTACAACTTCAACAGAACCAGTAGGTCGCTCGACTCAACAGGGTAACTAATCTGGTACAGGTGGCGGACAACGCCAAAATTGGCTCTATGCTCTTCACGCTAATCAAGATCAGGAAAATTCTCCTGATGTAGTCACTGGTACATTATGAGTCTTTGATCTTGATGTTTATGCATTGTTAGATCCAGGGGCTACTTTGTCATTTGTAACTCCTTACATAGCAGTCCAATTCAGTGTTAGCCCAGAAACTCTTTCAGAACCCTTCTCAGTCTCTACTCCAGTCGGTGACCCAGTTATAGCTAGACGGGTATATAGAAATTACCCTGTCACAGTCTCTCAGAATGTCACCTCAACAGATCTTGTGAAGTTAGAAATGGTAGACTTCGATGTCATTTTAGGCATGGATTGGTTACATTCTTGTTATGCCTTAGTCGATTGCAGAACTAGGATTGTTTGTTTTCATTTTCCAGATGAACAAATCCTAGAATGGAAGGGTAGTAGCTTAGCGTCTATGGGTCGATTCATTTTTTACCTTATGGCTAGAAAGATGATCTCTAAGGGTTATCTCTATAATCTAGTTCGGTTTAAGGATTCTAGTTCCGAATCCCCAACTCTTGAGTCAGTCCCTGTAGTCAATGAGTTTCCAGAAGTGTTTCCGAATGATCTTCCCAGAGTTCCTCTTGAAAGGGAAATCGACTTTGGAATTGATCTCCTTCCAGATACCCAGCCTATCTCTATTCCTCCTCACATAATGGCTATAGCTGAGCTTAAGGAATGGAAAGAGCAGTTGAAAGACCTTCAAGATAAGGGCTTCATCAGACCTAGTATTTCACCATGGGGTGCACCAGTATTGTTCGTAAAGAAGAAAGATGGTTCTCTTAGAATGTGCATTGACTATAGGCAGTTGAACAAGGTCACAATCAAGAATAAGTATCCCATCCCTAGGATTGATGACTTGTTTGACCAACTTCAGGGTGCTAGTCATTTCTCATAGATAGACCTCAAATCGGGTTATCATCAGCTTAAAGTCAGAGATAGTGACATTCCGAAGACAGCCTTCAGAACTTGGTATGGTCATTATGAAATTATAGTCATGTCATTTGGACTAACCAATGGTCCTGCAGCTTTCATGGATTTGATGAACAGAGTGTTCAAGCAGTACTTGTACTTGTTCGTTATCGTCTTTATTGATGATATCCTCATTTATTCTAGGAATGAGTAAGAACATGTGAGTCCTTTGAGAGTTGTTCTGCAAACTCTCAAAGATCGCCAGTTATTTGCAAAATTTAACAAGTGCGAGTTTTGGTTACAATCAGTTGCTTTCCTTGGGCATATTGTGTCTAGTGATGGAATTCGAGTAGATTCCCAGAAGATAGAAGCAGTGAAACAATGGCCCAGACCTACCTCTGCTATAGAACTCAGAAGTTTCTTAGGTCTAGCGAGCTATTACAGATGGTTCATGGAAGGATTTTCATCCATAGCCTCACCATTGACTAGGTTGACTAAGAATATGGACAAGTTTCGATGGTCAGATGATTGTGAGAAAAGCTTCGCAGAACTAAAAACTAGGTTGACTACAACTCCTGTCTTGACTCTACCAGAGGTTTCAGATGGTTATGTGATCTATTGTGATGCATCCAGGGTCGGCCTAGGTTGTGTATTGATGTAGCGAGGTAAGATTATAGCTTATGCTTCTAGACAACTTAAGGTACATGAGAAGAATTATCCGACTCATGACCTCGAGCTTGAAGCAGTGGTGTTTGCACTCAAGATTTGGAGACATTACTTGTATGGTGTTCATGTAGATGTGTTCACAGACCATAAGAGCCTCAAGTATGTATTCACCCGGAAGGAGTTGAATCTTCGCTAGAGAAGGTGGCTTGAGTTCCTCAAAGATTATGATATGAGCGTGCATTACCATCCGGCTAAGGCTAATGTAGTAGCAGATGCTCTTAGGAGATTATCCATGAGTAGTGTAGCACATGTTGAGGAAAAAAGAAGAGAGCTAGCAAAGGATGTTCACAGACATGCTCGCTTAGGAGTTCGTCTTATGAGTATATCAGATGGTGGTGTAACGGTTCAAAATGGGGCAAAATCTTCTTTGGTAGTAGAGGTTAAGTAAAAGAAAGACAGTGATCCAATCTTGCTTGAGCTTAAGGGTGAAGTCCACAATCAGAGAGTGGAGGTTTTCTCCCAAGGGTGAGATGGTGTGCTTCGCTACCAGGGTCGATTATGTGTTCCTAATGTGGGTGAGTTGAGACAACATATTCTTGCAGATCCCCATAACTCCAGATATTCTATCCATCCAGGAACCACTAAGATGTACCACGATTTGCGGGAAGTCTATTGGTGGAATGGTATGAAAAAAAATATAGCAGACTTTGTGGCTAAGTGCCCCAATTGCCAACAAGTCAAGGTAGAACATCAGAAACCAAGAGGCATGACTCAAGAGATTGACATTCCTACTTGGAAGTGGAAAGTGATCAACATGGACTTTCATCACATGTTTACCTCGTACTCGCAGACAACATGACTCCATTTGGGTGATTGTTGATAGGGTTACTAAGTCTTCTAGGTTTTTGGCGGTCAAGACTATAGATTCGGCGGAGGATTACTTCAAGCTTTACATTAATGAGATTATGAGGTTGCATGGGGTTCCTTTGTCTGTCATCTCAGATAGAGGTCCTCAGTTTACCTCTCATTTCTGGAAGTCATTTCAGAAGGGTCTTGGTACTCAGGTTAACCTTTGCACAACATTTCATCCACAGAATGATGGTCCGGCAGAGTGTACCATTCAGACTTTAGAGGACCTGTTGAGAGATTGTGTGATCGACTTCTAGGGTAGTTGGGACGATCACCTTCCTCTTATTGAGTTTGCCTACAACAATAGTTACCATTCCAACATTCAGATGCCCCCTTATGAGGCATTGTATAGGGGTAGATGTAGATCTCCAGTTGGTTGGTTTGAAGTAGGTGAAGCAGCCTTAATAGGACCAGATTCAGTCCTTGATGCTATGAAGAAAGTGCAACTCATTAGAGATAGACTTAAGACTGCCCAGAGTCGCCAGAAGTCTTATGTAGATGTTAGGAGAAGGGAACTAGAGTTCTAAGTTGATGATTGGGTTTTCCTGAAAGTGCCACCTATGAAGG